GTTGGACAATGACTAGGGAGGACAGAAGGAGAGTGGATGCTTTTGAGCTGTGGTGCTGGAGAAGGGTACTGCCATATATACCTCCTCCAAATTAAATTATGTAAAAAAAAAATGTAAGCAAAACAAAGTATGTTAGGACTAAATGTTGACACTCACTTCTCCTGGAAGAAAGAGAGAAGGAAAGCAAATATGTATGTTGTTAGGTGCCAGCGAGTAGAGTCTGACTCATTTATTCCAAAGAACTGATGCATCCGATGAACCTCAACTTCTAAGAACCTGAGAGCGGAAGAACCAGACAGTGCCCATCTAACCCTGCTGACCGCTTTCAAAGGGATGACAGTCCTCAACGGTGGGAGGAAATACAGAAAAAATTCAAAACCGCTTACATAATCACTTACTGGTCTAACAGTGCCTGGTGGAATTCCCCAGAGGAAACACTTGCACCTTAAAATGTTGTTGTTATTGTTATCAAGTCACCTGTGACTCACAGCAATGTTAACGTACATCAACTCTGAACCCTGCCCTGTCCTGAGCTGATCTCATTATCTCCAACAAACCTAATCCCATTTCTCCAGTCACTGAGGGATGGGTCCCTCTCAGCCTGGGTCCTCCTCTCCTGCGCTGTTCCTCCACCCTTCCAAGTATGATGTCCCTCTCCAAGGACTGGTCCCTCCTGGACATGTGCCCAATGTATGTGAGACGGAGCTTCAAAATCCTTGCCTCCCAGGAGCAGCCTGGTTTCACCCTCTCCAAAATAGACCTGTTTATTCTCTTGGCAGTCCATTTTATTATGTTCAACACCCTTCTGCAGCACCACGACCCAAAGGCACCGATCCTTCTTCTATCATCCTTAGTTATTGTCCAGTTCTCGGACGCTTAGCAAGTACTTGTGAAGACCATAGCCTGGATCAGCTGCACTTTAGTCTCCAGACTGTCATCGTTGCTCTTGAGTACTCTAGAGAAGTCTCTGACAGCAGACTTTCCCAAGGCAATTTGTCTCTTGATTTCCTGACTGCTAGTGCTAAGAGTGTTATGGAACCAACCAAATAAGGTCAAAAGATCAGAATTTGTCCAAAGATAAAGGTCAGAAGGCAAGAAAGAATAGAACAGAAGGATTAATAGAAATAAGAATCACTGGGAAGAACCAGCAAGAGCGTCACTTCATTGTGGATATGATTAATGCTATTAACAAACTGTCTATGAAAAAGTGGTAGGAAAAATAATTTGCTTTGTAAACTTCCACTCAAATACACATACACATACAACTAAACGCTGATACTATATCGTCTATCCTTCCTGTCTTTAAATTTAACACAAGTAAAATGGTTTATGAAAATGACTTTTAGGAGATTTTGCAGAGAAAAATTCTGAATTTAGACACATAGTTTTATGCATTTTTCATGTTGGAAAAGAAGTTCTCACATGACGCTTACTCTAGGACTGCTGTTAAGTGTATCACTCAGAGCTGACTCATAGGGACCTGACGGGCATCAGAGCCAAGCGCTTCTCAGTCCTGTGACATCCTCACAATTGTTGCTCTGAGGCCACTGGTGCAGCTACTGTGCCAATTCACTTTATCAAAGGTCTTCCTCCTTTTTACCAAACATGATGTCCTTCTCTGGAGTCTGGCCTCTGCTGGTCACCGGCTAACGTATGAGGAGCAGAGTCTCATCGTCCTCCCTCCTCAGGGCCACCCTGGCTGTACTCTTTCCAGGCAGATCTGTTCCTTCTGGGAGAACATGGAACATCCCAGATTCTCACCAGCATCATAGACTGATTAGATCACACCACATATAATGTGATCAGACCACAATTAAAATAAAGACAAGATGCTGGCCATTATGTACTCAAAGTAAATAAATAAGCCAGTAACACAGGAGTGCAAT